TACGGTCAACCGGTTGGTGCCGACGCGGAGACCGTACCTGAGTACAATGTCCGTCGGGCGGTGCCTTTTTAAACTCCCCAAACTAAGACTTCCTCCTACTTTTGGACTTTATTATATGACCCTGAATTTTATATATTCCAAATTTTGACCCCAATAAAAGAATATGTATTAATATATATATATATATATATATATATTTCCTACATAAAGGGGAAAAAAAAACAATTAAATTGCTCCTTTGCAATAAAAAATATCAGGGTAAGCAGCAATTTATTAGGTGCTATTTTGGGAAGTTGGCTTTTTAGCAACATTTTTTAGTTTGTAACAAAAGTCAAAAGTTAGTTTTTTTTGCATTTTTTTTTCATTTGGAAAGTTGGTTTTTAGTTGATAAAATTACAATTCTGTCTCTCATGAGACAAAATATGCTACATGATTGAAGTTATAAATATTTTAAATTAATGGGGGTAGTTTGGTTATTTTATTATGGTTTGACATCATAAACAAATATTAATAAAAAAAGCCAAAAGTAACTTTTTACCAACTTTCTAAATTATTTGTCTAAAAAACCAAAAGTTTGATTAAAAGCAAAAATTTACTTTTTATCATCTTCCCAAAATAGGCCTAATATGTCCCATACAATGAAATTTTAAAGACTTTTTTAGTTTAAAAATCTTAACCTCATCTAGCACATTCAATTGTCCACAAAAATATAACAATAACAATAACAATAAAAAAGAGAAGTAAATTACTCAATTTTTAGGTTCAGTTTCTGACTTTTTTGTGTGGCTGATTGTAATTTGTAAATTAATGTTTATACCGTTGTAGCTTTAACTATCGACAAAATGTACTCATTCTTATCAAGGGTTCATTACTGATAGGGGCTGTTTGTTTTCGGACGTAGAATAGAAGGAATTTATAATGAGAAAATTAATAATGAGAAGATTGTTAGTGAGGGGATTAAGTAAAATTATGTTTGTTTCGATGATAGTTGTTAGTGTAAGAATTGTTAAATTATTTTTATATAAAATAATAAAATATAAAAAAAATTAAACATTACTATTTAAAAAAAATTCTCAATATATAAAAAATAAAAAAATAATTTTTTTTAATCCCCTCACTATTTTTCTAATACCATCTCTACCTCCTCCATCTCAATTCCCCTACCAACCTCCATCTATATCACTTCCTCCATCCTAATTCATTTTCCAACTCTACAAACAAAAATAATACTAAATAGCCACACCTCCATCTTAATCCCGTTCCATCTATTTAACCTCAAAATAAACGGGGTCATAAAATTAACCCAATGATTAGAATGTTCATAAAAAAAGAAAAAAGGAAAAGAAAAAGAAAAATAGAGGTCATTACACCCCAGTAATGTTAGCAAATACTCTAAAGTTCAGCTCTAATGAGTTGGCAGTGTAAGAAAAAAAAAAAGACCAAACTATCACATCGGTGATGGGGTCTACATTGTGTCACGTCATTAGTGATGTATTAGTGGTGTTAAATTAGTGATTTGAAACATTTTTCTATATATAAATTTATAAAAATGTTTATAAATTTTAAATTTTTTTATTAATTTGTAATTATATTTTTCACATAATCCGTCTTTTATAATATTGTACAAAATAAGTGAAAACATATTATTACTCTCCAGCTGTTTCAAGCATGATCCAGCTGTTTCAAAGTAACGTCTTCGTACATTAGACTAGGTTCCAATTTTCTTTTTCTGACAAAGTTTTGTTTCTTTTGACTGGTTCCAATAATTTCATGACCCAACAAAAAATGATTAGAAACGGTTGCAATATTTCATTCCCCACTCTTCTTCAAAGTTATTCAATGATTTTGCATGTGTGGTGTTTGAGCAATAGTAATATTATAAATTTAAAAATTATTTAAATTTACAATTTTTAAAATTAAATTTATTGAATTCATAAATCTCATATCAGACAAATTTAGTTTTAATCACACACTTTAATTTGGAGTTAATTCTGAGAACTTAATTTTGGATTCATAAAATTATTTTATTGAACAATTCTACCTGAACAAAAAATTGTACAAAGAAGGTTCCAGGCTCTCAAGAGTTAGGGCCCACACAATATGGGGTACACGTGGACTGGAGCAATCCTCTAGTGAGGTATTCTGTGCATGCAAGCTTTTTTCTTTTTTCATGTACCTTTTTCTTTTTTGGCAGCAATACTGTAACCTCAAATATATATATATATATAAATAACATCTATGCTTATTTAAGATATGACATTTATATGTATATAACATTTTCTAATATCGTAGACTTTTTCTTTCGTAATTAACAATCCATAATTTATAGAAATCTCAAGTCAAAACTAGTTGGTTGGAAGATTTAGCTAACAATCTGAATTAGATAGTTCCTAAAGAAAAATAAATTACGTGTGTGATTAATAAGGTTTTTAAATTTAATATTAAGGGTTGGTTTGGAAAGTGAGTTGGTTTTTTGACTTTTTGATTTTTTTTGACTATTTTAGCCTGAGTTAAAAAGTTTAGTTTGGGAATGATTTTTTAACTTTTTAATTTTTTTGACTTTTTTTTGTGAGAAAAGAGTGTAATGATTATGGGTTAGATGTGATGTTTTGTTTGTTATGACTAAAATAGTCTATTTTATTTTTTGTGACTAAAATAACTAAAAAAAACCTAAAAACCTTCTTCCCAAACGGTGCCTAAGTATTGTGTGAGGTGTCGTAGAATTGTTTGACAGGTTAAAAGATGATTTATTTTTGATAAGTGACATTAATTTGGTCCACATGTATAATCATTCATTTATTAGTTAAATACCCTCCTCGTTATTATATGGGTGTTTGGAAAGTGAATTTTTATGTAGATTTTTTTAGTTGTAAGATATTATTGGATAAAATTTTTTTAATATTTAAAAAGATAGTTAAATTTTTTTTAGTTAGATACGATATTTTATGACAAAAAAAGTGAAATAATTATGAAATTAAATGTGATATTTTATTTGAATTTATTTTTTAAATTTTACAAAAAATTTATCTTTTAATGTAAAAAATCAAAAAAAATCCAACTCACACACTTCTCAAACACCACCTGTTGGTTGTTGTAAAGTAATGTCAACAAAGTTGAATGAAAGACTTGGAGGGCACAGCATTTTCGATTCAGACAGTTCAACTAACGGATGGTTTTATTTATTTATTTACTTCTTTTAAGAAGGGGCGGCAGGCGGTGATTTTTAAGGTTTATGTTTAAATTTGTAATTTATAATTTATTAAAAATTCACGAAAGAAAAATAAAATAGAAAGTGTATTTAATAAAAATTATTAGGGTATATTGCAAACTTTTTCAATATATTGATACTATCTGTATTAGTTTTGTCTTTTTAATTTTATTAAAATAAAAATGTACATAATTATGTTAAAATTGTGAAATTTATAATATATATATATTTTTAAATTTCAAGGAAAATCTGTATAATTTACCTAAATTATTATTATTTTTTATACTTTTCTCTTTTGTTTTTCCTCACAAATTTACAATCGAATGGTTTTGGTCAAAATGCCCAAATACCAAAACAATAATTTTTTTAAAAAGTTTGTTTTATTAAATAAAATTAAACATACACTATCTACTCTACAAAATCACTGACAACAAATCAAACTTATACTAGTTACTTAAAATTTTTACATTCATATTTGTTGGCATTATCTCTTTTTTTTTTGTTTATTTATTTGATATCGTAATGTTGACCTAGAATTGAAGGTGAGTAAAAAGAAATTATGTTCTAAAGTTATGGTAGTTCATATACACAGTTTTGTTCCTTCTTTAATTGAGCCCCTAGTGAAGGGTAAGTTTGATTTCCCCAATTAATTAGTCTGTAAAGCCGAATATTGAGTTATCTAATTTTTTATCCTTTTTTTCACAAATTTGAAGTAGCATTTTGATTTTGAATATATTCAGTACATGGTTTCATATCATCATCCACTGAGAAAAAAAGAAATAAATAAATAAAAGAAAGGAATGGGCACCCATTTTTTTTGGGGGGGAGGGGGACCAATAATAATCAAATACGATGGCTACTACTGAAAAAGGAGGACAAGACAAAAAGAAAAAAAGCCAAAAAAAAAAAAAAAGAAGGAAGTTTCTCGAGATAATTGCCACCTATGAGCAAACTGCGTTCACACGGAACACTATCAATTTAGACTGTGTTTGAATAATGAATTTGTATAAAAATTAAAAAATAAAAATAAGAAAAGTGAATGAAATGTAACTATAATTTATTTATATTTAAATTATCTTTTGTTATTTTAATTTTTTAAATTTCTATTCAAATTTATAATCAAAACACAACCTTAAATATTGAGGCATTTATATGTACATACATATATCCATATGCATATATATAATAATACATGTATAAAGAAGTTATTTTATGTCACATATTATACTATTTAGATTCTGAACAATTGTCTAAGTAATAACGAAAAGGACACTTAAAATGTCAAAATAAGTAGATTTTAAGTTCAAATCTATAAATCTTTAAACTGTTAGAGAAAAAAAATACTTGGACCTCATACTATGGTTGGTAAATTAAATTTTTCCTTAAAATCAGTTATGGTGTGTTTAGTTGGGGGATTTGGAGAGGGATTTGGAAAGGAAAAGGGAAAAGATGTGTGAAACTATGTGAAATATAAGCATGATTTATTCACATTTCACCTACCTTTTCTATTTCCCTTTCCAAATCCCTCTCTAAAGCCCCCAACCAAACACAGCATTAATGAAAACTTTTCATTTAGAGTGATTCAGCCTTTATTCATGTATACTTGCATTTAATAACAACATAATAAACACGTGTCATATTGTAATATAGTTTAATGAAAGGCCAAGAAAATTGGGACATGGGCCTGGAGGTGATACTACTGTCATACAACTTCACTCCACTTCACCTACGTAACTACGTGGAAGCAAACTTCCATCTCATAATAATAAGTCGCATAATAATATGAGGTCCCCTAGTTTTACAAGACACACATCTATTTATAGATTGACTCTATATCATCTTTCACCCTCCTCCTCACCTTAAACTTTCAAAGTAAAACACCCTACCTTAAAAACCCAGAAGAAAATGGAAGAAGATCAGGCTAGCAAGCATTCCACTCGACCATACCGAGGAGTTCGGCAGCGAAAATGGGGGAAATGGGTATCCGAAATGCGCGAACCAGGCAAGAAAACCCGAATATGGTTAGGAAGTTATGAATCACCTGAAATGGCAGCAGCAGCCTATGATGTGGCTGCATTGCATTTCAAGGGACACGTGGCGCGTCTCAATTTCCCCGACTTGATTGATAGTCTTCCAAAGCCCGCGAGCTCCAATGCTGAGGATGTACAGGTGGCGGCTCAGGAGGCTGCCAAGCTGTTTAAAAGACCTGTTGATCAGATGAGTGGTGGCAGTAACTTGGTTCCGATTAGGGTTGGGCTGTCGCCGAGTCAGATTCAGGCTATAAATGAGTCACCATTGGACTCACCTAAGATGTGGATGGAACTGGCTGGGGCTCTATTATTAGCAGAACCTATGGTTTTGAGTCATGATATTGATGAGTTGAGTGAGTGGGATGAAATTAAGCTTGATTCTATTTGGGATTTCTAGGCTAAATATGTATAGGATAATAGCAATAAATATAGTCAACAAACAATAGACCATTCTTATGCATTTAATTCTCCCAAATAAAAGGTACGCTTTATATTATATAAAAAATTTTGGAGTGATATATTGGAGACTGTAATATTGGGAGACGAGTTTTGTTGTTGCAAGACTTAAACCCTTCATCTTTTATTGGTTTTGAGCATTTTACGACCAATTAATTTCCCCAAATAAAAGTTCAACTTCTTCTTGTTGGTATTTTATTTGTTTTTGTTTTTTTTTCTTCTTATTTTCCTGAATACAACAAAATCTTCAGCAGTTCATATGAATTGCTTTGTAATGACTCATTTCTTGACCACCATCAATCCCGCATGTTCTAGATGGGATTTATTTTAGCACATTCATAGCTGATGTTGCAAAAGAAGAAATTACTCACAAAAAAGCAATAATCAAGATCTAAAGTTTTTGTAAATATTTGGTTCTGTACCATTAATAGTTTGTGTATGTAGGGGTTCAAGAATGTTGTCGGAAAATTCGAAAATCTTCAAAGATCGTAGGAAGATCCGAATTCTTTAGAAATGATAAGAGAGGCTTAGATTCTTTAACGGTTACAACTAGAAATACAATAATAAAGAGATGATAGATATAAGAGATTGGGTGAAGAAGAAGACAAAGTAATTAGAGAGAGAATAATGGCAAGACTCTCCTATGGATCTCCCACTTTCACTCTCAAGGTAGATGATGAAGAAGGGAAATTAGTTCTTTCCCCAAAATTGTCTTTCCAAAATCCAACCCTTGTAAAGCTGTGGGTGGGTTCTATTTATAGACACCTCATGATGTAAAATGGAGCCCATGTACAAGGCACATGGGGAATATTCCGTTTAACTAGCTTGTCTAATGAAGTGACCTCTCCGAGGATGAGGAAAACTCTGAAGAGGAGATTAACCTCTCGACGAACCCTTTTTCTTAACCACACCTAACCAATGATTCTCAATCATCCCAAAAGGTCAGGGGTAGTCCAAGAGGACATCCTACCGCAGAAGGGACAGGGGTAGTTCAAGAGAATGCCTTGCCCAAAATATTGCCAAGTCTCAAGGACCCTCTAGATCGTGCCACCTCAACCTAGGTATAGGCTAATTTAATCGAAGAGTGAATTTATCACCATTCATCGTCCTTGGGATCGGGTCCTTTGTTCTGACTCCGTCACGCCCATGGTTCTGGTGCGTAGATCCCAGAAAGCTCTAAACCCATAAGTGTTTTGGGACTCATTAACGGAGCGACTTCTAGATTGCATTCGAATCCGTTTAATGCCAAGCGCTTCGGATTTTTAGGTTCATGGATCCGAACCCTTTCAAGTTCGAGCTCAAATAGGTTTCTAGGTTCATGATTCTGAACCCTTTCAAGACTAAACCAATATCTCAGAGAATGGATCTTCTTCGAGGGTTTCATCTTTTTTGAAAGCAACAATTAACCTCCTTGAACGTCCGTATGATTTGGGCCTTATCGGATGGGCTTGTTTGACTATCTTTAGATAGATCTGTAGCTCTTTAAAAATAATTACAGATAAATGAAAATTTTATCAATATTAATAATTAAAATCATAAGTTTTTCAGTAATTTTGTAAATATTTTTTTGAGAGTGCACTTGAAAATAATTTCCCCTATTTTTTTTTTTTGAATATTCGGGTTTCATTTTTTTTTTTGTTTTAACTTTTAAGTATATCTAAATTAAGTATATTTAAAAAGTTTTAAAAAAAATTAAAATATTTAAAAATTCACTAAAACAATAAGTAAAAAATTGTATTTAAAAAAAATGTATTTAAGAACTAAAAGCTAAACAAAAATAGGACTGTTTTGTAATTTCAACAAAAAGTTTCATAATGCACACGCAATGCGCTTGGGCTTTATTATTAAGGGTTTTGATTAAAACTCCCACAAAATCCTACCCCTACAACCCCACACACTTTTGAAAAAAAAAAAAGAAAAAAAGAAATACATGCCTTATGGGGGTGATGGGTCCAAGCATTTTTGTATTATTAATATGTGCATCCATCCGCAGTCACACGCCTCATTTCGCTGTAGCAATACTCTGCTTTTTCTGTGGATGACACAAAACCCTCCTCTAAACTTGAAACCGTACGTAGATTACTATTAGATTCCAAAGGAACAGATCCATTGTTAAGTTTGAGCAACTCAGTGGTGGACAATATATACTATAACTTCAGCTAATGACCCTTGTGTGACAACTCTCACCTCTGATTAGCGTTAATTCGTGATTTAGCATGATAAGTAACTGATTAAGACGAAATCCTAAATTGATTATGTGAGTATGTTATTTAGATTACATTTCTATCTGTTTGATGCAAAACGATCTGTTCATGTTTTGATTTCAAATAGTGAATTGAAAGCCTTATCGACAACCGATTCGGAAATTGACTTGATTTATATGCTAATTAGGAATTATAGAATTTTATGGTAGGTTTAATTAAAATTCGATTTGGAATGATTAAATTAGAATATATGATGCTAAATTGATTGGATGTAAGTTATCTACATGTTTGCCATTGAGTGGGCCACCTTCAAAACCATTGTTTTGGTCTTAATTCACATATTTGACACATCATTCTTCATCCATCTCATTGCAAAAATGTAAGAGAGGGAGAGACTTGGGAGAAATTGAAATAAACAAGAAACTTTACTTGAAATTTAGAAGAATTGGAGAAAATTTTGAAGACTTGTCCACATTGCTCAAGAATTTGGCTTAAGTGAAGTTTGATTAAGAAGCCCAGGTAAGAGCTCAACCTTTAATCTTGTAATTGAGCCATCTAGGACTTGCATATGAAATAAATAGGTGAATTAATGGGAGAATTAAGCTTGAATTCAAGAGAGCTAAGTTAATTCATGCATGCATGTCCATACCATGGAGTTTTGAAGTTTATTTTTGTGAAATCCTCACATGCATGTTCTTATCATAGTTAAAATCCAAGAATTCACCATGTTTTGAGTTGAATGTTGCACATGATCATGGTTTGAAAAGCTCAAGATCAAGAAACTTCATGCATGTTGTGTTCTTGCATTGTTCATAAAACTTACATTGAAATTGTGTTCAATTGGCATACCTTTGGGCTTTGATTTCATGTAATGATCTTCAAAACATGTTGTGTTATGAGTTTCTAAGTGTTTTCCAGAAATTTGGCCCAAAAGAATAAGTTTTGGCATGTTTGATTCATGGTCTGAAGCTTAGGAGCAAATCTAGAAAACCCAGAATTTGGCTTCCTCGCTCGAGCGAAGGATTCCACGCTCGAGCGACCACCTTTGTTTTCAAAATTTCACTCGAGCAACGGAATGCTGGCTCGAGCGTAAATTGCAAGCTCTCAGGTTTTTGCATGTGCAGACGCACGCTCGAGCGACGATACCTACGCTCGAGCGAAGAACTGTGTCTCATGCTCGAGCGAGCATTGAGCAAAGAATTTCAGCAACCAGTACTTTCCACATTTTTGCAGATCGCTCGAGCGAGGAAGTCTACACTCGAGCGACCTCTCTCATTCGGAAAGCTCGCTCAAGCGAAGGAGTCTATGCTCGAGCGAGACCCCTGTTTTCAGCAAGTTTTGAACAATATTTTTAAGTACATTTTTGCATCCTCATTCCATCCTAGGCATTCATAAGCCATGTTTAAGGCATCATAATGAGGATAATGTTATAGAACCACACCAAATCAAGATAGGGGCCAAGTTATTAATCCCAAATGTGTAATTTAATGTGCGTTCTTTCTGTAACTATGTAGGTTTGGCACCCAAGGACGCTGATTAGCCTGCCTATAGCCCAAAAATCTGTGAGTAACAATGTTGTAAATCTATGTTCAATTATAATTATTTTCTAAATGATTAACTGTACTGCTTTCAGAAATGATATTGTTTACTGAATGAATGTTTGTCCTATTTTACGAACTATGCTCGTGGCATCCATAGCATTTGATTGTTACTGTTACTACTTCTGTTATAGAGATCTCTGTCAGTTCCAATGTTTGGAAATACTAATGTTTACTGTTTTGATGGCCATCAACTGACTGTTCGGTCTATTAAGACGTACTGTACTGTTCTGCTATTGGATGTACCACGTATGACTGCTATGATTCCTAAATGACTGATATGACTTGAAATATGAGTCACTGATTGAATAACCGATTTATTGATGCAAATGACTGTTTCAATTACTGAAAGGACATTCGTTCTTAACCTCTTTACACATTTGTTATTCACTAGGCTTTAGCTCACTGTTTATATATATGTATGTAGGCGGCCAGGCACCGGACCAAAGCTAGAAGCGTCGAATTAAGGTCATGTTTTGTCAAGCCAAACATTGTGCCTCACTTTGAGGTTCCGAGTCTACTCGAGCCAAGGCTATTTTTGGGGTGTTTCAGCTTCACCATTTCGTCTCCGTTATGTAATGAATGTTTAAGACTTGACTGTACATTAATGGTGAAGGGAATAGGTCCCTAACCTGTATGCTATGTGTATTTGAGATGTATATATATATATATATATATGGTTATGAGTGTGGTTTTGTCTATGGAAGTCTTTTCCCATTCAGGTCTTCACAGCTCATTGGACATCTGTTTATTACTAATTGGCTTCTGCCAGCCCCTTTATACTGTATTATTGTCATCACTGTTAAGCAGGCCTTTGGTAATCACGGATTACTGGCCGGTTACGATGTTAAACCCTTAGGGGCGGGTTTGAGTTACGACACCTTGACCTTTTGCTACTATGGTCCATCTCGAAGCTACTATTTCTATTGGGTTCTTCTTCTGGTGGCTCGCAGTCACTGAGGCCGTCACGTCTTCTCTTCGATGTAGTTATAGTAGTAGAGTCTTCATCTTTTACTGCTACTACTGATGATTTGTCAGAGTCTTCATAGAAGACACCCGAGTTGAAGTTGTTGACTTGGGAGCTATACATACTATTACTCACTGTTGCTTCAACATCGTCATATTTGTTGTAGTATACTAAACGAATCCTACAATGTTTTACCCCAACATGCATCAAATATTCCAATTTATCATTGTACTTATATCCCGTACACCCATCTGCGATGTCAATGTCATCTCTTCTGATGAAGTAAGCTACAA